AATTCACAATTTTCTGCGTGGAGTGCTTTATGGAAGCTTCTGTTAGATAATATAATAAAGCTAACATAAACTGAAATAAACGAGTAACCTGACTCGTTATAGCGGAAGCTTTAGGACCTTTGAACATCCCTAGCCATAGTTGTGGAAATTGCCTATGGAATGGTAAACTTGTAGAAAGTGTTGTTTTGTCTACCACTTCTCTCCCGAATATTCGATGGTGTGTGTATGCTGAACACGGGAGCTGTGGGAGGACTATTTTGCTTAGAAGCCGACATGCCATCAATGTAGGCAAATATTCAGTAAAAACTTAACTGAATATCCTGAGTTGCCTAACAGATTAAGTCACTAACTGACTTAATCTTCCACTTGCACCACAACCACCCAATAATACAATATATTATATATTGTATACAGGAAAAATACTTACAGCTTTATCTACCCCTAAAATTCTGAATTTTATGTGGAGGTGTGCAAGAGCTATTCTTCCTACATGCACTGCTTTGGCTTCAAGAGGAGTTAATATTGAGGTACATTGTCCTCTTTGTCGTTCTTCCCCGGAAACCCCCATACATCTGTTTAGACGTGCCATACTCTTCCTTAAACACAAGAAATTTGAACTGAGTATTTACATTTGCTATTGGACTGAAAAGGAACATGACACCAACCAACCAACCCTCTTACAGAGTATACTTAACATAACAAAGGAACATGACACCAACCAACCAACCCTCTTACAGAGTATACTTAACATAACATCCTCCTGGGAGTGGTGGAGAGTCTCTAGCTGAAACTTGCAACTATCAACCCTCTGACAGAGCCTACAAAGGCAAATGCAATGACAACCAAACATATATATATGTATATGTACGAAGAACGATCTTGATGGTCGTCTAAGATTCTATTCTTTTCAACTTTAGGTACATCTCCATTGGAAAATACACTACTACTGGTCAAAAGATTATTGCTCCTTAAAATCCCACCACTTTGTTGAAGTAGGGGAATATCGCGATTCCAACCGACTATAACAACATAAGCAGTTTGGAAAACCAATCTCACTAAATTCAACCTAAAAGTTTTGTCCTATAAATGTTATTGTTTGTAAATTTATTTGATTTTAAATTGTTTGTTCATTTTTATATACTATAATGGTGTATTTATGAATGCACTAATACAATTATTGATATTTTGCATTTTGGAAAGCACTTACAATCTTTTTAAATGATTATTATTGCGTGTAAAATTGTTAAAAATTTGTTAATCTTATTTCAAATTATTTGACATTAATTAATTAGTATTAAAATATATATGTTGACTTCAGGTAAGATCTATTATATATTTTTTGTCATTTCATGGAGGTATAAAATGATTTTGACAAGCAGTAATGTTGTATAAGATTGAGAAAAAAGATACATATATCAAATGATTTCATTACTAGCTAACACTTTTAAAGATGATGATGAGTATTCTTGCGTGATGTCGAATCGGCAAAACGGGCAGCTTCCATGTTTCTGGAGCCATGAAGCAATGCAATTATGGTGAAAAATGTGAGAACATGGCAATAGCGTAATCTTGACTCCAGCCGAGAACTCTTCCAAACAAATCGAACACATCAATGATTCCTCGTTTGCAGCAGTGAACCTTTCTTGCTTCAACCCGTTAATCTCTTCACAAGTTAAACCCCTTGGCGGCTTCAACGACTCATCATCATCATCGTCATCAACGATATTGTTACCAAAATATAAGATTATTCCATCATCTTCATGTTCATCACGATCAACCCACACTCCCATGCAATCTTGTACTTGGTCGTCGTCGTCTGTTGGTTGCAGATCTGGCTCATGAATCTCCACAAAAGCCGTGACTTTATTTGCAGTACCGCCGCCGCCATTGTCATTGGCAAATGCAACTTGTTGCGCGTACACGAAGATTCGTTGGGAAAGCTGGGAGCATAAGGAGGGAGACAATCCCGGCAACCACAGACGAATTTGGTCTCTAAAGTCACCATACGACAACCCAGGAGAATCGAAACAAGCGTAATCGTCGGAGTTTGTCTCGAAGAAATCAACAACCTGGCCGCCCCGCCTATTTCTCAAGAATATCCACCGTTTGTATTTCAAAAAAACTTCTAGAATTAGCACCGTTGTTGGATCGGCCAGCCCAAAACACACCGTCGACTCAAACGAAGATCTGATCCAGGGTCGGAGGTGAAAATGTGTCGCCATTGATATGATATGATATGATAGAACCAATGAATTGAAGGAGAAGGAGATCTATCGTAGCACTATCGCCGCAAGCGGAAACCTAACACAGTCGATCGATGTATTTTGAGAACTAATGGAGACACAGATAGATGATTGATACTGAGAACTACAAGCCTACTTACTTAATTTATATATAGCCCTTATTTCTATTTTGATTATGATTAGGATTAGGAAACCTTTCTTTTCTTGAAAAACAATTAAAAACTTAATGGATATGATACTTCTTGCCCAAGTTTTATTGGGATTAAATACTACTCCGTATATACTATAATATTCCCCTGAATTTTTATACCATATAACTAATCTAGGGTGTGATTGAGTAGAATTGACTCATACATTCATTCTTTGATACGGAGTAGTCTTAAATTTCAATGTTTGAAGCATCCGCTCGTGCTCTCCCGTGGGAGTAATCGTGCTCATAACACCAAAATACAAAGGCAACTTCGACTGAAAATAATGAGAATATTTCTAGTGTAAGATTTAAAATAAATCATATACACAATAAAAGCAATTTGAAGAAGGATTTTCTGTATTGGCAAAGGAATACTACAATAGGAATTACAAATATAACACTTGTATTCTACTCTCTATATTTTTGCTATGCTAATGGGATGATTCCTGATGGAATGGGATGAAATGAATTGGATGAAGAAGAGTTGTCTATTTATAGCAAATCTACCCCTGCAAATTCCCCTTGCTTTTTCTTAAGAATGAGCAGGCATTTCTCCTTGCTCTTTCTCAAGCCTAAGAATGAGCAGGCATTTCCGATCTGCTCTTGATTAAGCTTAAGCTTAAGCTTAAGCATTTCTTCTTCAAGCTCAAACCTTAGCTTAGCCTAAGTGTTTGCTCCTTCAATCTCAAACCTTAGCTCTTAGCCGAAGTGTTTGCTCCTTCAAGCTCAAACCTTAACTCTTAGCCCAAGTGTTTGCTCCTGCTCAAACTTAAGCAATCCTCCAAACCTCATCCCAAAGGTTCTGCCTATTTCCACATTTGACTTTAGTATTTACATTTTGAGAGTGTCTACGAGGAGATGTCCCTAGTTGGATATCAGCTTGATCAAAAGAAACATGCATACCAGCTGGTGAATGCATCAAAAGTTGGAAAAGTAAAAAAAAATACTGCAGTTGTGCGTGTAGATTATTTTTAGCAGAAATAATCTTTCCAAAATTCCAACTCTTTGCAAAAATTTAAAGTGATAATCAGCATAATAACATGCCAACAACGGTCAGCAATGTAAATGTCCATATATCCATGCTTGAAATAGTCAATTTTTTCTCCAGTAATAAATTGACGGAAAATAAGCCGGAAGGATCATTTTTGCATTAATAATAAAAATAATAATAACCGTAAACCAAAATTACAAGGTTTGGAAGTCGTGGATCAATCCTGATAGTGCTACTATAGTCATGTGACTAAAAGTGCAAAAAACTCACCTATTTCATTAGATAAGTATAAAACATATATGTATAACACTCCCATTCCACCATTATCTTGTCATGCCCCCTACTTCGTTAAAAAATTTTCATAAAACAAACTCGTGGGATAAAACTAGTCGAGAAAAATAATACATGATTTACGGTAAATATGTTACCGGAGTATAATTTGAAAGAAATTGTTAAGTAGAGTGTACAAGGTCCAGAGCGTCTTTCCCCAACTTGTTACATAGACTCAACTTTTAAACTATACAATGATAATCACTACAATAATGCTACTAACGGCCTCCTAATAAGTGTAACAACTCCCCGTATCAGAGCTCCTCAGATCAGTAATTGTTGTGCCCTCTCCTACATAAGTACTCTTTGATTAGGCGGTGTCCTACTAAGTGCATTATTGAACTTTAAGAACCATTACACTTTCTCGTGCTTCACTCTTGACCGTTACCAACTGACCGTGTCGATTACTTTGACTACTTCGGTTCAGTCTAAATGTGCTTCAAGTCGGGTCTAATGACTAATCTAATTATCCTATCACCAGCCCCGTACTCTGAAGCTAAGAGCGTAGCGGAATCAACTAGGGAGTAATGATAGGGTATACTCATTAAAGATTCCGTCACCAGTCCCCTACCCGCAGACTACGAGTATAAAAGAGTAGGTCGACTATAATTTTTTTTAAAAAAAATTGTATTATAATAATAATTTTTAATTTTATTTCTATTTTTTAATTTTTTTTCTAGACTCGGAGTCAAACCGACCAGGGTTGAGGCACTGCCTCGGCCATGGTGGCTGAGACGTGGCCTTAACTAAGGTGACCGAGGCACAGATCTTTGAAATCTAGACTAGGTGTGTGACACCCCGATATTTTAAACAATCTCATTTTAATAAATATATTCTCGAAAATATAATTTATTTTTGAATTCTAAATATTTTAACAAGAATGCTTTAAAAACAAATTATTTTATTTTGAAATTTTAAACAAATTATTTTATGACCCATGATTATTATATGCATGCTTAGCGATTTTTTCAACTATGACAAAAATAAACGTTGTGCACCAATTGTGTAAAAAAAAAAAAAAAAAATGTACTTATAGACAAGGTGGGAAATGATTTGCAATTGTTATACCATTGGCTCGCGTACAACTTGCATTGTAAACCTTAATTCTTATAGTTGATATATATACACATAATATGTTAGCTGCATATACATAATTTGAATATCATTTTGGATCAAAATTCACACTACAATAGAAACCCTTGTCCATGCTATAATTTGCCAATGAGTTACTAGTTGTGCAACCAAATATGAAAATAATTCTTGTTTATATATCTTCTTTCAATAAATACATTGTTTAGGCAAGAGTTGTTAACAGCATTTTGCATGCCATACTCTTCCTTAAACACAAGAAATTTTAACAGAGACACAGAGTATTTACATTTGCTATTGGACTGAACTAGAACATGACACCAGCCAACCAACCCTCTTACAGAGTATACTCTATAAAACATCCTTCTGGAGGGTGGAGAGTCTCTAGCTGAACCTTGCAACTATCAACCCTCTGACAGAGCCTACAAAGGCAAATACAATGACAACCAAACATATATAGGTATATGTACGAAGAACGATCTTGATGGTCGTCCAGGATTCTATTCTTTTCTGCTTTAGGTACATCTCCACCGGGAAATACACTACTACTGGCCAAAAGGTTATTGCTCCTGAAAATCCCACCACCTGGTTGAAATAGGGGAATAGTACCGCGATTCCGGTGACTGTAGCAACATAAGCAGTTCGGAAAACCAATCTCAGTAAATTCAACCTAAAACCTGGTAACAATAACCGCTTCAGATCATAATCTTTGTGCACAATGTCACTCTCCGGGAATTTCCTCCCAAGCCAGCTCTCAAAATTTTCAAACAATGGCTGGCTGAATACCTAAGAATGTACATACGAAAATAAACAAAGTGAGAGAGAGACTGAATTGACTAAAACTAGCAGATCAGAGTGAGGTAATTTGGAAAAGAAGTAGAATGTGTACCTGATATGCTCCAACAAGATGAACCACGACACATGCGTTTGCGATATCAACTAGCCAGTATGGCTCAAAGAAACCGAATCCTGTCAAAAGGTTCCCGGGCGTGTTGGTGCCAAAGGCTGCATAACCAAATCCGCCACAACATAGGTAGAAGAGAGTTGTAATGCAAACTGCTATTGTTGACGCTTTTTTCATGGTCACCTTTTCTGGAGGAGTTTCCTTCAATGTATCCTTCACATATTCGATGTTTTTTCCAATCATATAATTAATTAAACATTTCACTATCGGTTATTCTTGTTCAACAGAAAATGTACAATTCTCCATGATAGCAAAATTGGTGCACCTGTATGTTTAAGAAAACAAGAGAAAATGGGAAAGCAAAGGCAATGTCTCCAAGCGCTTGTGCAACTGACCATACTTTCTCAACCGCATTGTCAGAAGGCAATCCAGTAATGCTACCCTTTATTTCTCTATTCTCTGAAAATTAAAATTCGCCCAACGTGTAAGTTTAAGTGCATGGAACGCCCATCAATTTTAAAATCTGGCAAGGAAATTATTGTCAATTTTAAAATGAAGATGGTTAGGTAATGAATGATTGTTTGGACATGGATAACCTACCAATTACTTTCGCTAAGCCTAGTCCTGCTCCAATAAATGAATATGTGAAAGACATGATTGCTGCAACTACGGAGAGCCACTTTGTGTTCTGAAAATCACGAACCTGAGACACTAGAACTTGAACCGCTCCAAATATAACCATATGTATTGTAGTTGAATAGCTACAAGCAGCATCATGCCCTTCATAGTGATAGCAGTTAGACTTCAGAATTGCTCTGCACTAAAAAGAGGAATACATCACTAAAATTATCCAAAACTAAGAAAACGAAGCCAGCATTTCAAAAGCACAATGTACGGCTTTATCTAGGACTAGCAGCCGATTGTTTAGAATGCTAAACTTGTTGCTAGACGAATGAGATTACATGGAAAAGCAATTCGTGTGTCCTAAATATTCAGCATCCAGTAGCTGTAAAATATTGTAAAGGAAAAGCATATAACTTTTGGCATACCCGATACTACTAGCAGTGGTGATTGTATACACAATTGCAACCTTGATGAAGTTAATTTGAACAATGATCCCACAAAACCAAGCGCTTTTCTTTCCTGATCATACAGAATAAAGCACGTTAAGTCATAATGGTTTAAGTTCTCTTACACTGCATATACCAACAAGTTTGAGGGCTCTTACATTTTGTAAGAAAACATTTTCGGAGAATGGCTTGGGATTGTTCAGACTTGATAAAAGTAATAAGCTTGAATTTAGGCTTCAAACTAGATACTTATGTTTTTCTCAGATAGCAAAGTTTAGGATTCAAACTAGATACGTATGTTTTACAAGTGAAACAACTTGATCTTATATGTTTAAGCTTGTCTAATATTTCAATTGGAAACACAATAAGAAACTAAGGAAGCTGGCTGCAAGTATTTTTGTTTTCTTCTCATATATCAAAATTTGATGGTAAGCTCCATCAAGCAAAAAGAGACAAAAGCTGTCTATAAAGAATTTATAAAGTTTCTTTGATTATACGATAGAATCCATGGATATGCCAAATGGAAGAGGACACACTATTACCATACACATAACTAGAAATAGGACACCAGCAGGCAAGAGTACATTAACAATAGTATCATACTATGCTCACTAATCAATAGAGAATTTTTGACATAGTGTTAAGCGCTTGATCCTAACAAGGGGTATCAGAGCCAGGAAATAAAGTTGCGCCTTCACTACGAGCTATAGCTTTTGGCATAGTGGTAACTGGTAAACGCTTGATCCTAACAATTCTTTTTTTGGAACATCATGTATTTATGTTTACTTGGCAAAAGGAAACATGGTAAATTACATCCCGAAAAGTTTTGGAGAAGCAATAGTACCAGAAAGAACTGCCAAAGGCCTAAAGTTTCATACTTTGATCATGCTTTGCTCACCTAAAATTGACCGAACTGCATCAAGGTAAGAGCCATGGCGGATGGTGCACTCTGGGTCAGTGGATTTGTAACAGTTGCAGAGAAGAAATGCAGAAATAAGCGTTACAGAAGCAAAACACAGCACGGAAAATGGACCTGCAATCCATCCTAGTTGTGCTATGCTCCAAGCTAATGATAGCACACCTGAGCCTATCACTGCTGTGATTATATGTGCCAAAGCAGTCCACTCGTTTCCTGAGTAGAAATTATAATCCGAATTCTCAATTCTAAAATTTGAATTCTCAAACTGGTAGAAAACACTAATTTCCTTTGTGTTCGATGAAATAAGTTAGTAAATTTCACAATTTTAAAAAATAATAAAAAATGAAAGAAAAACTACCAGTTCTTTTGAGTGGATCCTTCATAGTTTCAGTTGGTGGAGTTGATGACGGCGACGATGATGAAGGAGAAGAGCGCGTATGCTTCAAGGGCATCTTAACACTATCAACCTCTTCATCAAATCCCATGGCCTACGATATCTCTGCCTTTGATGCACTCTGTGACTCCGTGTTCTAGGCTTTCCCAGAAGCCAGCGAATGCGGACAATTATCCACCGAGTCTATATTGTTGCCTTATTGGCGCATTTATTTCTTTATTCCGCCATGCCCAACCAATCGTCTTGGTAAAGCAAGTGAAGAATAAAAATAACTTCCACGAAACGAAGAGACCCACACGCATAAGATAATTGGATAAGACTTTGCGTATTTTGACTCTTTAGACTACCCAAGACTTTGACGTTGAAATGTTGAACCAATAAGCAACTTGGGAGGGCATGAGTAGTCTTTTTTGTCTTAATTGCTAGGTGGAGGGCTGGAGATTTTATGGTGGTTGGCGATGGTAGAGGGGGTAGAGAGCAATGGTGGTGGTGGCATCGATAGAGGTGTCACACGGTGGAAGCAAACAGTGGCAGTGGTGGCTGGATTTTGTCGGAGATACTGCGGCGGGGTTTGATGGAGGTTTGAAGATTGGGTTTTCTATTTTCGGAGAAAGGAGGTTGGAGGGTGAAATCTGGTTTTTGAGGGGATGGCGCTAAGATCTAAACGTTTTTTCAGAAGAATTGATGAATGCGGAAGAAGGAGGCGGCGGCGACGGCGGCGATATGGAGGCATGTCGCCGGTGGTGTGCAGAGCTAGGGTTTCTGAGATCATTGCTTTTGGGCCTGTACATGCTGTTTTTTGGTCTGGGCCGGAGGTTTTACAGATATTTGGGCTTAAATCGATTATTTATATTATAATCAATATCTCGTCTATTAGCTTGGACAAATTATGCTCCGTATCCGTATGCACCATGCACCACATGGTGCATACGAATGCAAAAACGACGTCGTTTTGTATCAAAACGCGTGTCGTACTTAAAAAAAATCAGTTTTGATTTCCAGTAACAATATAATGTTATTCATTTTTTTAGTTCATTCATTCATGATTTTTAGTTATGAAATTCTGGATGTGTAGTTATGCAATTCTGGGTTTATAGTTATGGAGTTATGAATGTGTAGTTATGCAATTCTGGATGTATAGTTATGAAATTATGGATGTGTAGTTATGTAATTCTGGATGTATAGTTATGAAATTATGGATGTGATGAAATTATAGATGTGTAGTTATGTAATTTTGAATTATTTTTTTTTTGAAGTTAGACGTCAAAACGGCGTCGTTTTTGCATCCGTATGCACCATGCTTGGTGCATACGGATGCATAGCATAACAATTGATTATCTTGCATTTATATACTTTAAATTACTGATTTAAATAAACAAATTCAATATTCAATTACCTATGTATGAAAATCGTCTATATAATCTTGTATTGATTGATATACTTTGAAATATTTATTTTAAAATAATCATTGGACATTATCTCATTCACGCAATGCGCGTGAAAAACTTGTATATATTAAATAAAATTGAATGATCAATACAATTATTGAACTATACATGGTTGCTTCTATCTTTCGATTGATTCATGATTGATAAAACTTTGAAATCGAATACACTCGACAAACTGAATATGGGAGAGGCTGAGAAGAAGACAAAGATGAGGAGAAGTGGATGAGAAGAACACAACGAAGGTGAGAGAGGCTACTGCATAAGGAGAAAAAGGAGAGAACAGGAGAAAAAGAAAAAGGAAAAAAAAAAATGACAAAACAAATAAAGGGAACAGCAATAGTCATTTCTTTAGAGTGACCGCCAATTAAAGTGCTCCAACGGGGACGTAGTGCTCTCCAAGCGCGCCTTCTGACGTTTATTTTTTTCTCTTGCAAAAACTCAAGTCTTTACATGAAAAAAGTTTAATGAAAAATCAAGTTTTCTATTTGTTTAAATATCTCAACATCAATCTTTACGGTTCCAAAAACATTATTGGAGATGCCCTAAGCTAATTGGTGCCCAGATTCTTGACTTTTGGGGCTCAAAAAATTTCGTTAAAGTTGATTGCGAAATATTGGAATTTTCTTGTTTAATTTTCAAAGAAAATGACTGTTGCTTTAATAGCTCAAAGTCTTTAACCAAGTGCAAGCCCATCATAATTGCGGGTCAAGTTGGTCATGTCCTCTTTTTTTTTTTTTTTCTTCCTCCCAATTAATTGAACCATTTCGTTATATTTTTTAACCGTGTTAATAATACACTCATTTTATCCAACCTTTCATATGTATTTCGATGACTGAAACTATTAAAAAAAAAAAACATTTGGAGTAAAAAATTGTTTAGCTCTCATGACTGATCTGAGTATCATTAATGTGCATCAATAATCTTCCATGGCTGGCAGTGCACAATGATGGTCTTGAAACTTTTCTTCTCCTAAAAGTTTGAATTCTCAACTCTAAAGGCTTCGCACACTTTAACTCGATAAAATATTTAGAAGAGTATAAATTAAACTGATTCACTGACACAATAAGTATGATTAAATATCGATGTGCACAATAAATTTGCGGATTGGTGGTCCCCAGTCTGAATTGATTCCTGACTCAAGTACGAAACAGCGACTAAAAAAAGATGACAGAAAATTATTGTCTCTTTACTGTTTATCGACCCAAGAATGTTTGTTTGTTTTGTTTGTTGTTTTTTTACCAAAGAGAAGACGAGGAATCGAATATCATTAGTCAATACTCCCTACTCGTCTACCCCACAGAGACTTTGGTTTCTGTTTTTCATTTTTTAAATAATAATAAAATACTGAAATAATTCTAAGAAAGCACTATTATTTATACTAAAAACGTAGTTGAAACTTTAAAAGATATAATATTTAATAAGCAAAGTTTTTTTTTTAATGCTACTGACTCTATTACAATGTAGTATCTCTTAATAATTAATACGCAAAGTTGATAAGTAGAGTTTGTAATGTTTGTAACATTATTAATAATTAATAATACAACCTTTTATCGACCCTTATAAGGAATTTAACTGGAAAAATTATATTTACCAAACTAATTATTCAATCAACTTGGTTAAATATTGTCCGGAGTTATTTAACTTTTGTTGGTAAACTTGTAATAAGAGCAGTATAATAATTCAAAATGATCCATTGACTATTGATTTTACTAGTAATTCACCCGCACGATGCACGAAAAAAAAATTATGTTATTATAAAATATAAATAAAAAATAAAAAATAAAAATATTTTAAATTGTTTAATATAATAATATTTTTGAGCTTCCATTGGTCAAGTATTTATTATTTTTATAAAATACAAAATTACAATTAAAATTAAAATTAAAATTTTGTATGGTTAATATAATCTCTAATTATGTACATATTCAAATAAACTTATAAGAGAATTTACATAATTCCATTGATTTATTCTTAATTGTATTTCATCTATATTATAATTTTCACAATACGAATAATAACTAAGATAATTATATTTAGAAAGCAAATTTCAAATTTTGTAGGAGTAAATTTAAACTCTAATTGAACACATTTTTTTTATATGATTATATAATATAAAAATAACTATTTTATTTTTCAAATGTTGTTGTTTTTTTTTTTTTTATAGTAAAGGATGTTGTAGATGGCTATTTTATAATAATAATTTAATAAAGATAAAGATAATAATTGTAACATTAATTACTTCCCAAACTATATAACTTTATTATAGTTAAGATTTCAAATGGTCATTCAATTAAATATTAATATAAAAAATATTAAATTTAAGAATAATAATGTAAAAGTTAGCTTATTGTTGAGATGGTCAAATTAAGTTCATACATTTAATATATTGAGTTCATCATTGTGAATACCTAAAATTTTTATTACCCTTAAATTTAATGTTTATTAAATTGATTTTTAACTAGAGAACCAAAATTAAAAAAAAAAAAAATCAACAGGGACCACTTATGGACTTATATGGTTAAATTAAAAGTCGATGATAAAAATTGATACATACCAAAAGTCAAGAGACTATTTATGCTCCAATTAAAAAGCGAAGGATAAAAATTAGTAAATGACAATAGTCAATAATGGACCATTATTGAAATTAACTCAATTTTAAAATTTGAAAACTTAATTGCTCTTTTGTATAATATTTGATGACTTATTTAAGCTTTTTTTCCAATCATATATGTACATCAATAATTTGAAGAGATATGTAAGAGGATTACTCAATTATTGGGCATTAATTGCACAGGCTGTTGCATCCGGAAACTATTTTTTTTTTTTTTTTTTTTTTTAGAACGAAAGGTTAATTCATTAACATATCCGAAATAAGGGAATTACAAATGATAGAGGGAGGGTTCGTAAACCACGGCAATTTATATCCTACACCACGGCGCGCATTGCAATATGCGCCAAGATGCAAAACGACGTCGTTTTAATTATTTTTTTTTTTTGAAATTTCCCGCCTCAGTGAATGGCAGTAGTTTTTTCTTTAAAAAAAAACCCGTTGTTCAAGAATGTACATAATGTTATACTAGAATACACATAATGTTATACATGAATGTACATAATTATATAATAAAATATACATACTCTTTTTAAAAGATAATACACATAATCTAACATAATACATAATAAACATAAACTTTTAACATAATACACATCAACTCTTAACATAATACCCACAAATTTTCTGATTCGGATGTACATAATTGTATAAAAAGAATGTACATAATTGTATAAAAAATACACATAATTGTATGAACCAATACACATAACGTTGTGAACAAATACACATAACATTGTGAACAAATACACATAATCTCAGCAACTTTCTACCGCGCCTCCCAACACTACCCCAAAACGACGTCGTTTTGGGAGGCGCGCGGCGCACAGTGCTATGTGCGCCGTGGTGTAGGATATAACGATTGCTAAACCACTCCGAGCAACCAGACAAAGAAGCAGACTGCCTAGCTAACAGATGGGCCGCCTGGTTCGCACTTACAAGGAAACTATATTACTTCAATTCTTTTGTGGCCATTATTACTAATCACTACAATTATATACATAACTATAACAACAGAAAGCTTTACAATGCCGCAGGATTGATTTAATTAATAACCTGATTCCAAGATTCATAAATTCTTGAAATAATCAGCCATGAAGGCCTACCTGGAGTTATTCTACAATCTAAGTATATATATATATATCATACTTATATTCTGCTAATTAATTTCAACTCAACTTTTCAGTTATGAGTCCTTCAATTGAACCAACCAAACCCACAATTGACACACACAGACAGATCATGCTGAAAATCTGAAGAAAAACCCACTTTCTTGTCCACCCTCCAATTTTCCTCTGCACAATATACATTTCTACTGGGAAATAAACGGCCAATGGCCAAAAGGTCACAGCTCCCAGCACTCCTAAAACCTGGTTGAAGTAAGGGAACAGCATTGCGATGCCTGTAGTGGATGCAACATATGCGGTTCGGAAACATAGCCGGAAAAGGCTCAGCCGGAAAGCCGGCAAGTATGGGAGTTTTAGAGCATGGGGTTTCATCAACACTCGGCTCCGTGGGAACCTCTCTGAGAACCATTTCTCCGCAAATGCAAAGATTGGTTGGCAGTATATCTACAAAGTTTAGGAGCTTAAAGTTAATGTTGAGATTGAACAAGAACAAGAAATAAATAATAATGGCAATGTGCCTATATCATAGTGAAACTATTCTTATATTCATAGTGATGGTGATAATGGTGACACAACACCTATGAATACAACTAGTGTATTTATAGACATCTAATCCCTATACAATGAGTCTCTTCACTCCTATTCTTAGTATGAGACAGAATCATATTGTTAATCCATATATGAGACAAACTGAACAGTTAAAAGGCTTGTTTGACAGTTTTTCCTAGCAGGGTATATGGCATACCTGGTAGCCTCCAACTAGATGCAGAATAATGCAGGCATTGGCTAAATCTACGAGCCAATACGGCTCGTAGAATCCGAATCCGGTCAAGAGGTTGCCGGGTGTGTCGCTGCCGAAAGCAGCATAGCCAAAGCATCCACAGCAGGTATAGAAGAAAGTGGTGATCAATATTGCAGCCAATGATGCCTTGTTCATGGTCTGGTGTTCTGGTGGGGGTGACTTCAGAGTATCCTTTAGATCATCAAATACATAAAACCAACCCCCTTTAAGGATTACTACAAGAATAAACCAAGGTTAAGGTTTCAGGTTTCAAGAAATTATAGTACCTGTATCTCCAGGACAATAAGGGTGTATGGATAGGCAAAGGAAATGTCTGCGATGGCCTGAAATGTTAACCACATCTTCTGAGCACCAGTGTGTGTTGATACCCCAGTTATGCTTCCCTTAATAGCCCTGTTTTCTGTAACCATTACCCGAAAGTGTGCATTAGATAAGTCTCGACTTGTAACCTTAACCAACAAATGAATACAATAAAGTAAACCAGGCCAATCTAAGTTGTCTATAGCTGACTGACTGACTCAAACTGAGAAAGTCAATCGAGCTTGTAACCAGAAGGTTATAAGTCGACAGGTCTGACCAATTTGATTGGGTGGACAACAAAAATGGTGGAATTGAAGGAAATGAATTGATACCAATAACTGTGGCAAATCCAAGGCCTAATCCGATGGAGGCATAGCCAAAGGACATGAGTGCAGCAACAATGGAGAGCCATGCCATGTTATGAAAATCAGGTATCTGCGACGCAAATATCTGGGCAATTCCAAAAACCAGCATAAACACGTTGGTCCCAATCCCAGTACTATTGCAATTAGCTTCGTGCCCGTTCTCGTGGTAGCAGTTCGATTTCTCAATCGCCCTGTAACACAGATAACTCAGTTAGTTCTTAAGTGACAGATTGTGAACAAGAACGTAAGATCGAGCCCTAACAGAAGGGCTACTAACCTCATACTTGTGGAAGTGGTAATAACATAGGCGATACAGGTCCCATACATGCTCACATACTGAAGCAAACCACACATCCATCTATGTCTCCTTCCTGAACCATCACCATAAGCAAACTTATTATATACACACACAATATATACAATAATACAAATCTCTGCAGGCCAATGGATAAGCTACTATATATATACCTACCCAGATTAAACCTGACGGCATCCATGTAAGTGGGATTCCGGTGCCCAGAAGGAGACATATAACACTGGGATATAAGAGAAACAGAGATGTAAGTAACCACTGCAAAACACAGCAATGCTACTGGCCCTGCAATCCATCCTAACTGGGCTGTGCTCCAAGCTAGAGACAGAACGCCGGCGCCAATCACGGCGGCGATTATATGCGCAACCGCGCTCAACACAGTTCCTGCCACCCACAAAAACAAACAATTTTGCTCACCCAAAATTATTACCAGGAGTTCCTGCTAAAAACCCATGTGGGTATTGCTTAATCTGAAGCTTTTGGTTTACCTGTTCTGATTACATCATGGCCATCACTGAGGATTGGATCTCCTTTGGGTGGTGAGGGGTGTTGGATTTCCATCTGCATGGTATGTAGGTCAATCTGGTTTAGCAGAAAGGCAGAAGAGCTAGAAAAGCCTATTGGATATACCCACAGGGTGTCTGCCTTGTTGGGTATTAAAGGAAGATATTTCCAGAAAAGTACAGTCTTTCAATCACAAGTAACACTTATCATAATACACCGAAGAAAAAAAAAAGATGGAATTGCCTACTCCGACCTACAAGATTCTGGAGTGGTAAATTATTGTAACTAAATTGATCAATAGGTACTAGATTTTTGCTCTGCTCACTATACACAAAGATTTCCGCTTATTAGACACGGTAAGAACTCTAACAATTGTATTGAATGTATTCATTACAAAGAGTACTGATAATAGGATTTTCTTTAGACAAATTACAGGTTATTACCGGTTACATGTAATAATGTTATATTAATCATATAACTTGCAGAAATGATAGCAGTATAAAATCATGCAAATAATGTGATGTAGGACCATAACGGCGCGTCGTGCCATACAATAACAATAATTTGGGTTATCAGGCCAACCCAGAGGAAAATCCAGCCACATCAAGTTTAATTGGCACACAATATTGAATATTCAGCCATACAACAACAATAATTTGGGTCAAGCCTGTTAGTAATAATACGGAGTATAATGTACACCTATCACGTGTGGTGATAGCTTGTTTAGTTCTACCTAACCTATTATGTATGAGACTATTATGTTAGTTATTTTCTATAGGACTCTAAGATTGTAATCTCTCTCTTCTGAATTGATTGATTCTGTTTGCGTAACATTCATCTAGTATCAATTAGCGTTAGGCTTTCCTATCCTAATTTTTCTCCCCCACAAATGTCGACACATTCCTCCGAGCGTACGGTGAGTGCCGCCACCGTACCTGCTCCGGCCACCACCAATACCCTCACGTCTGCCCACCATTTCGTTTCAATCAAGCTTACAACAATAAATTTCTTATTCTGGCGCACACAACTCGTCCTGTTCCTCAGGGGACATGGCCTTCTCGGATTCATTGATGGTGAACACCACATCACCGCTGCTCCACTCTCCGGCGAAACAGCTTCTGGCGGGACGGCAACCACCTCGGCGTTGAACCCTGCGTACACCGCCTGGATACAACAGGATCAATCGATCCTCTCGTTACTCATCTCGTCCCTTTCCGACGAGGTGATGTACCTCGCCGTCGGCCGCAACACCGCCCGAGAGGTCTGGCTCTCCATCACCACCGCGTTAGGTTCTAGCACCCGAGCCCGTTGTTTGAATTTACTCGGCCAATTCCAGGCCCTACGCTAAGGAAGCAGCTCGCCGGCGGAGTACTTGGGCCGTGCTAAGCTGATCGTGGAAGCCCTCTCCCTCACCGGTGATATGCTTTCACTCGACGAACAGGTTCTGTACGTCCCCAGACTACGACCGGAATTCCGGGCTTAGGCCGCTACTCTCACGGCCTCAGGTACACCCGTGACTTTGCCGCAGCTTGCCGATCGTCTGCAGGCTCAGGAGTTTATTTACTCCAACGAACTTCCGGCGAGTGATGGCCCAGACGCGACTGGCTCTCCCATGGCTCTTTTTGCCGGTCGTGGTCGCGGGCAGGGGATGGTTAGAATTTCGGCGGCCGCCAATCGACGAATAGAGGCCATGGACGTGGCCGGCAGGGTCGCGACAGAGGTGGTCGTGGACGCGGTGATACTCCCCGATGCCAAATCTGTAGATCTCGTGGACATACCGCTATGCACTGCTACAAAAGGTATGCTGGTCATCCGCAAGCTAATGTCGCTGTCTCTGGCGAGGCCCAGTCTCCGGCGTCGGTGGATGCATGGTATCTGGATTACCGAATACCAGCGCGTCGTCGCACGCAACGCCAGATGAACATATGCTGAACCAGTCGAAAGTCTACACCGGCAATGACGTACTCAGAGTCAGTAATAGCGCATGTTTGGTTGTTTCTCGTGTGGGTCGTGCACTTATCTCTTCCGCGTCAAATCTCTTAGTTTGTCAAATATCTTACATGTACCTAAATTTTCGTTACCACTCTTGTCAGTACATCGCTTTACTAACGATAACAATGTCTATTTTGAGTTTCATAAGATTTTTTTTTTACTGTGAAGGACTGACCACCAAGGCGGTTCTGCTTAAAGGGCCAACCTCGGTTGGGCTATACAAGTTATTGATCCCGCGGTCGCATTTTGCATTCATAAGTGCCCGGGCGTCATCCGTGGTGTGACATCAGCGTTTGGGTCATCCGCATTGCCGAGTCCTTCAGCGTGTACTGCAAACCTATCCAGTCACTTCAAATAACACCAGTTCGTCAAAAGTGTGTGCGGCGTGTCAGCTTGGCAAATCGGCATGGTTCCTTTTAGATAGAGTACCCACCTCTAGCAAAAATGTTCTAGATTTATTGTACACGGACATTTGGGGTCCGTCTCCAGTTATTTCAGATTCTGGTTTACGTTATTTTCTTTTATTTGTAGATGACTATTCCCGTTTCTGCTGGTTTTATCTCTTACGGCTAAAATCAGACATATATAAAACTATTGAATTGTTTCATGTGGTGGTAGAACACAGGTTTTCGCGTTCTATCAAGGCTATACAGTCATATTTAGGGGCCGAGTATCGCCGTCTCCACAAAGTTTTTCAATCCCTAGGCATTGTGCACAGGCAATTGTGTGCCTACACTCACGAACAAAACGGTCGAGTTGAAGGCCGGAATAGACACATTGTCGAAATCGGCTTAGCACTACTTGCTGAAAGCTCGGTCCCGTTAAAATATTGGGATTATGCCTTCGAAATAGCCACACACCTAATAAATTATCTTCCGTCATCTACAATAAACTTCGAAAGTCCACATTACCTTCTGTACCAAACCCCACCAACATACACGTGTTTTCGCGTCTTTGGGTGCCGGTGTTATCCCTATCTAAGGCCATACAATCGGCACAAGATAGAGTTTCGGTCGGCACCCTGTGTCTTTTTAGGTTACCTAGTTTCATTTAGGGGATACCGTTGCATAGAACTAACCACTAGGAAGACCTTTATCTGCCGTCATGTCCGGTTCGATGAATCCGTCTTCCCCTTTTCCACACAGCTTGCAGGAACAATCGCGTGCGGCAACCTGCCATGGGGGTCCGTGCCCGTACTCCCGTAGTGGTCCATTCTCAGTCCACACCGGTACATGAGGAACCTCCCCTGGCGCAGGAACCAGCACCCTTAGCTTTGGAGGAAGCCGCTCCATGCACCATGACCCAGGCTAACCAGGGTCAAAATCACCAACAGGGGCATGCCATGCGCACTCGCCGCAAAACTCGAGGAACGGGTGAACAGTTCTTTGCCCGGTTTCAAGTGCTTCGAGACAAGCTCAATGTTGTGTCTCTACAACCTTGTGCTTGAGGAGGCATGTTAGTAATAATATAATGTACACCTATCACATGTGTGGTGATAACTTGTTTAGCTCTACCTAACCTATTATGTGGGAGACTATTATGTTAGTTGTTTCCTATAGGACTCTAGGATTGTAACCTCTCTCTTCTGAATTGATTGATTCTGTTTGCGTAACATTCATCAAGCCAACCCAGAGGAACTTTGGTACACAATATTATTTGGAATGAGTTAATTCCACCAGAGGTCTCTTGTCTTTGGTGGCAATTCCAAATTTAGTTCCAGACTATCGTTTTTGCCATTTAACATCCCTATACTATTATTTTTTGGACACTTTTAGTCCTTGTCATCACCTTTCCTATTTTTAGTAAGGGCATTTTTGTCTTTTCATATTTTTCTTTTATTAGTTTTTCGGTTTCAATCGGTTTAATTGGTTTATAACTTTAGGTAACCTCTGATTTTTTAGTAATAATATTTTTCAACCAATTTGTAGTAAAGTCCTAAATCAATTAAACCAGTTAAAATCATAAAAATAATAAAAGAAAAATATGAAGAGACAAAAATGGTATTTGCTCATTTCAATTTCTCAAAAAAAGAGTAGTCAATTTCATTTAATTGTTTAAGAAGAAAAAAAAAATACACTACTACTCATTTACTCAATGTAGGGACTTAAAAACCGAACGCTAGATTTAAGGACAAAAAGAGTTTGTCAATTTTGTCATCTTCCGATCCATTGCAGTGTGTGTCAGGATTTGCATATGGGTGTCTCTTTCGATCTGCAGACTGCAGGACCCAACCTCTACTCAGCACAGAATTATTAACTATTGGGTTGATTTTTGTAGATGCATCATAAATTGACATAATTTTTTAAAGAGTTTTTACAGGTGTGATTATGTATAAAATAGAGAAAAAAGGTAAAAAAAAAATAAAAATAAAAAAAATTGAAAAATAAAATTTGAAAAAAAGAAGAAGGAACAAATGCATATTAAAGTGTCCATTAGTCGTGTAGAATGCACTCGCTTAACTGAGCGTAATTAGAGAGAGTTTTTTTTTTTTTTAAGTGGGTCCCACTTTAGAGACAAATATCATGTCTTTGCATATTTTCTTCTCTCATCTATCTCTTTCCTCCATGTAAGCATTACAATCTCAAAAATTTACCCAAAAACTTCTATTGCGGTTGCCCTTAAAGCATCTTCAATAGTTGAGATTTTTTTCTAATTTTTTGTAGGCCCCAACATTCACTATCCCTCTCAATTACAAAAATCATTCTCCCCATTGATTTTAGCTTCTTTTTTTTTTGGTTTTTTTGTGAACCACTATTTTACTATCCTATATTTTAACTATTTCTTTATTTATTTGAATTATAATTTATAATTGTAATGAAAATTAATTAAAATAAATGTACCTACATTTAATTAAATGGGGATAACTATAAAATGGAATGAAGCGTGCCACTATGGAGGTCTCGGACCCCATACTCACTGTTGCAAAAAATCAGCCTAGGCGTTACGCACCCTTAGGCCAAGGCAAATTACCCCTAGGCGCACAACTCGGCAAATTTCGTCTGAGGTAACTCGTCCAATTAAGCCGAGTTAACTCAGCCGAGTCGCCCTTGTTAATTTTTTAAAATCTTATATTATATTATATTATATTATATGTATGACATAAACCCACACACGTGTACGATTATTTTTTTTTTTTTAAGTTAGCCGCCTAGGCGCTACTCTACCGCCCGACTAGCGTCTAGCGCTTACTGGAACTGTGTCCCTACCATTCCTCGTTAGAACAGTCACTCCCGCACGAGACTAGCATGTTGATGCTTTAATGATTCGAATATCGTTATGTCGGTTGACATGTGTGAATATTCAGGATACTCAAAAAAGAATCACTTATGTAAGAGAGAAGTAGGGTCGCTTCAAAGGAGAATTGATTTGGCTCAATTCTTTAGAAGCTCTCGCAGAACCAGGAACGATGACCCATAATTAAAACGCGCACTCCCATGAGAACTGAATAAAGGTTGAAAGGTTCCTATGTGGGATATGTCAACGTCTACACAAATTGTAGTCGGTTTAAAAACATCGTGATCTACCAAACAGCCAATAGAGTAAATATATCTTCACAAGACACGGGTTCAAAGGGTAAAAACCTACCTATGCTATGCATGGATCGACTGTTGCGCATATTCGTGTAATCGTGTCATTTTTCCACATCCTGAAAATCAATTTTCATTCATGTGGAGGATTGTTGAAATTTTTAGCATAAAATAAAATAGAAAGTGGTTATTTTGTAGTACAAATATATGTGGGGTCTACTTCCAATTTGAATCGTGTCGAAGTTGATTCGGGTTCTTTGTAGTAAGGCAAAGAGATTTATATATTTTACGCTAAAAACGGATAATGAGTTAATGTGTTGATTATGAAAGTAGACCCATTTGACTTGGAAAATGAAAGTGAAAAGGCTTTGTAAAAGCACTTGTCCCACATTGGTTTGGGAAGTGGGTTTGCACCACTATATATACAAGAGCCTTTTAAGGGCTCTCTTTCGGGCGCAGGGGATGCAAATCAAATTTGTTTTACCATTCAGAACATTGAATAAATAGTCACCCGTCACCATTCAGACTATTGACTATTCGGTTTGACCCGTGGGTAATACTCGAACTACTTTTCGGAGTACCGCTCTGAAAGTGTTAATTCTTATTCGTAAGAATTAATTTCGAATTAATTCTAATTTATTTTTAAAAATTAACGGTCATAACTTCCATATTAAAGAACTCTCAAAATCTTTGTTTTCTCTTCTCCTCAATTTCCAATTAATTCTAATTCATTTTTAAGAATTAACGGTCAAAATAGTTGTGTTAAACTCGATATTAAAATTGTTATGTTCAGATGTTAATGTCATTATTAATGCTATTAACTCTCCATTCTCCTATAAATACTTGATGTTAGACAGAATTGTTTTTGGCTACTAATTTTGAGCTCTCAAAACCTTTGTTTTCTCTTTTCCTCTCTCAAAATCGTTTTCTTCAAAGAAAATTATGCCAAACAATTCTGTAAATTGTACGGAGTGATCGCCTATTGTTTTAATTCGCCAGACCTTTTGTTTGAGCGCTCAAACTTAAGGTCGTGATTCATTTTATCCTGGGAGACTGACACTACAACGCTCCTAGCACCATCTAATATCGGTAATGTTAAACTCCAAAAACAGAAATTGTGGAGAACCTCCTAATCTAGTAACATAGACATGAGACTTTATAAGAAATTATTAATCTCGAATAAGAATCAAATAAGATGAATTGAAAAGAGACAAAAAGACAAACCTGGTCATGTTGACCAACATAGCAAGCCCCCATCATCAATGGTTGTTGATCATCTCCTCTTCCTGTTTGGACGCCCATCACTCACCCTCTGAATTGTCTATTCACAAAATCTACTTTATGATATGATCTGATATGATACAACTAACGAGTAAATGTACTCCAACTCCCTCTTTTTGAATTATTGGCTCTTCAATTTGTGATGGCTTATTGTAATTTTCCTGGATGGTTTAATTTCGCTCTTAATTTCTTGGCCTGGGAAGTAGTAAGAAGGGTACGGTTGAGTGTACGCAAGCAAGGGAAGCAACAATGGTGGTAACTGGCTAGAGAATGAGTACTTGCCAGTGGAAAGGGTACGCAGTCACCATCATTATTTCATATAATATAATGTATACAATTTTATATATTGCTGAGTGCTACACAAAGATTTCTAAATACTTTTTTTAGTATAATTTTGAATTCTCTATTCTCAACTTGGTGAAATGACAAAACTTTTGACAAATCAATATTATCAAAAGAAAAAAAAATAACAAATGAAAATCACGTGTGTACAAATCTTTATGTAAAAATATTGCAAAATCAGATCAATTAGGTAAATCAATGCGTATTTAAAGTGTGTGCATTTAATTTCTAGCTAAATTCGTAAATGTTTCAATATTTTCTTTTATGTAGTGTTGTATACACCTATAATATAAGTTTTATGAATATATAGAACAAATATTATAAACATATAAAAGAGTAAATAATGTTACAAATGATGCATCAATAGTGTATATTTTAACCCTAAGGGCCTTTTTCTAATTTTTTTTTTTTAAATATAAGGGCCCGTTTGGTTCACGAAAAATATTTTAAGGGAATAGAATTGAAATTCCATAGAAAAACAATTACTATGGAAATAAATTTCAATGTTTGGTTGGTGGAAAAAAATTACTGGGAATACTAATTTTATTGTTTGGTTAGATTTAGAATTGCAAAAAATAAGGAATAATATAAAGACCTATATGCACATACAAATTAATAAGAGTAATATAATTAAGAAAGAAAGTAAGGGTAAAATAATAAAACCATATCATTTTTATTTCCCATCTTCCGGAAAACAAAATACCATGTCCAACCAAGGATTTTTGTTTTCCTCAAATTTGAAGAATTTATTTTCTAATAGAAAATAAATTTCATGAACCAAACATAACAAAATAACATTTTTCTTCACTTTAAGAAAAAACTTTTCCATCCAACCAAATATCTCCTAATGGGGCATTTGGTAGGATGGAAATTGCAAATCCTTCCAACCATGAAATTGCAATTCCTAGGTCCCCCAATCTAAATTCCACGACAAATCATAACTTTGTCCTTATTATTTTACTACTACTTTGTCCCTCGAACTTTTGAAAGTTACAATTAAACACATTAACATATTAATTTAGTATATCAAGACCCACAACCCTAATTGTGACCTGTTATAGCAGGTCAGCAACACCGGTCGCTTTTTCCGGCGATTTGCTGGTCACTACTACTAACTGTCTCCCAAACTTTTGAAAGTTGTAATTAAACACGTTAACATATTAATTTAGTGTATCAAGACCGACAACCCTAATTTTGACCTGTTATAGTAGGTCAGTGGCACCGGTCGCCTTTTCCGACGATTTGCTGGTCAATCCCTTGTCGAAATGTCATCGGAGCTCTGTTGACCTGTTATAACAGATCACATTTAGAATTTTGATGTACTAAATTAATATGTTAATGTGTATAATTATAACTTTCACAGTTTGAGTACCTAAATGACTTCTTATACAAAGTTAGAAGGTGCATTTAACTCTTTTCCTAAATTATTTGGAATAATTTCCCGCGATTTATTCCGGATAGCTACTCATGTGTCAGTTTAAATTTATTGCTTACCAAGTGCTACTAGGATAAGCTAAAAATTGTAAGGCAACGAACGTAACATACAACGCTGCAAAGTTTCAGAGTTAATCTTCAATTAATAATTTAATCCCAAATAGTTATAGCATTGACGAGATAATAATTTAATTTTCAACCCTAAGATATCAGTATCACGATGACATGAACATACTACAACCATAATCAAAGACTAAATCAGAAATAAACTCAAAATTTCATTTAATAAATGGAGTAATCCAAAACTAACAAAAACTTGAACATCCCCAAGCTGCTACACACTCTTAAAGAAAAATGAATATTAAGAACTGCTATAAACTCCAATTCTACAGACCGAAATTAGCTCGCTCTACATGAAAGTAATATAAAATCCCTAGAACTTTGTACAGACTTACTTCTGTGTGCTCCACAACTCAATCATTTAGGGCTCATTAACATTGAGTTGATAACATGCATGATCAGGCGGATGCTGGACTGGTCGGCACCGCTCGTGGTGGGAAGATTCCGATGATGGTTTAGTATCTGATACACTTGCTCGAAGATAGGACGGACGTGCATTGCAATCATCGGATCGTTTGGGTTTAGGGCGGATACCACGTCTCTCATCCATGACAGTTTCCGGGTTGTCTCTTTGCTAATGTCGCAAGCTAACTGTTGAAGTAGTGAGAGGAATACTCCTTGACTCAATGGGAGAGGGTTCATTGATAAGATCCCAGGCATATCAACCTGAAAGAAGTGAATCAACATAAACCCTAACTGAAAACGGGAGGGAGAAGGGCTCAACACACCCAAACTAAATGTTATGTGAAGCAGTACAGTTCTAATCTACAATGTAAAGTTATAAAAAACTGATGGACTGAGAAACAGCCCCTTCACTTCATGTAAAACAGAGTAAATTTGTGTTAGGATTCAAGACAAACACTGAACTGAAATACATTCGCATCATTTTACCAGAACACTCATTGTTACACCTCCATGGGGAAAACAGTTGAACAAATCAAAACTCATGGAAAACGTATTTCATGTGTTTTTTTTTTAAATTTTTATTCCAAAAGTTGTCGTATAAAATATAACAAATGTTTAGAACCTTCCATCTCCAAACTCTTGGAGAAGCACTAATCCACAGCCATTAGCCTCTCTCTCTTCTTTATTCTTTTCCAACTCTCACATTCCCTCCTCTCATTTTCTCTCTACCATCAAACTTTTTCTTCTTTTCTTTCTTCATTTTCCTCTCTCACACTCTCCCTCTGCTAACAGAATAGGGCCAGCAACCTCTGTTTCCTACTCATCTTTTTGAGTCCAATAAATTAATTATATAGTTAATCAAAACAAGAGATTAAGGAGAAAGCAGCAGTTAAAGAGAATACACGGAGTAAAAGAAAGGGCCATGTTTTGTTTGTAGCAAGAGACATGTAGAACTGTAGAAGAATATGATATAGAGAAGAATAAAGAACTGGGAAGCTTTTGGTTTTGACAAAAATATGGAAATTTCAGAAACCATAGATAATGCCACAGTGACCATGTTGCTCATAACTTTTTATGCAAAGCATATTCTAGTGTTAGGAAAGATTTTACATCCCTTTTGTATTGAGTTTTTCTAGTAAGTGAATACCATAAACATTTTTCCAATAATACTGACTGAAGTTACTGAACAATGGAAGTTTTTCCCTGTAAAACAGTTTCCTTTAATATATTTTTTAAAACGAGATAATGGAGCATAAATGAAGGTGAAATTTCTTGACAAGGCCAATTACACAATTAAAAAAAAAAAATAATCCATTTCAATCCTATAATCAACTACATCAGCAACCACAGCAGAAAGCATACCTGAGAGCATAGCCAGGATACAATGTTCACATCACTGATCTGCAAGGCTGCAGTGAAGGCCTCCTCATATTTCCTCTCCACCAACAATCTAGATAACTCTTTGGTTGGATCCACGGGTGCTTCAAACTGTTTCAAACATCCCAAACAGAACCAGTACATTTAGCACAGAGAAGAAATTCCAGCAAAAGTATCCAGAGTTTAGTAAAAAACCTTCTCTTGGAGCAAGGGCCCATTATTCAATGGGTTGACAGTTGGATTTGCGGCTTTAGAATTTGCTAGAGCAAGCAACTTTCTTTGACCATCAGCCAGCTCACCACTTAGGGTTTGTGTCACTGATGATGCCGAATTGATGGCATCCTGAAACTTGATTAAATTAGTCCACATAAAGAATACAAATTCATGATGGATTCAAGTAATATTAGAACCACTATAAAGTTTAGAAAGATGGATCTTATTATCTTAACAAAAATGAACTTCCAATTGCTGGCAGTGAGTGAAAGGAAACTGACAAAAAGTTATGAAATCATAGAAAATGTAGATGGGTAAGATGACATTAAACTCACCTCACAGAATAGGCAAACCAAAAGGATTTTTAAAAAAAATCTTTAAAAATCAATTACAACATAAAAGGAGCAGTAGTAATAACAAAGCTAGTAGCCAGGCAATGTACCCTTAAAGCAAGAGCCAGTGGTGAATGCATTGACTCAAACTGTTGCTGAGCAGCAGCGGAATGTTCAGCCATTCCCTTTTGAAATGTAGCATCCACTTGCTCAAACATTGCCTTGCATGACATTTCAAAAGCAGGGACAAGCGAGGCTTCAAGAATAGATTTCAGATTCTCCTGCATGACACAATAGAATATGATAACAACAAAGTCAGAAGGCTGCCCCCCTTTGGCCACAACCAGAAGATTGCAAAACTAACTTAAAGAAATGATGGCTCTCAAACCAGTCTTCAATCAAACATATTTCGATGTCAAAGTGAGCCACTACTAGGCTGTAAGGCTCACACATAAACAAGCAGAAAAAAGGAGAAACTGAAAAAGAAAATTCCCCACTTGCAAGTCCACAACTTCCATTCATTTCAACAGTAATTTTTATGCTATGCATCCTTAACAAGTACTGGTAATTTTTTTAAGAAATTCAAAAGGCCATCTAATATTTATGCTTACCTGGAGAGCTTGTTTTCCAGAAGTCTGAAACTGTGCTTGGATTTGTCTTGCAACAGTAACTTCAAGTTTGGAATTGACTGATTTCTCTAGCTGGCTCACAGCCTTGTCACCAACTCCTTTCTGAATAATAAAGAAAGAATTAAAATATGAAATGTGTATGTTCAAGGCTAGGATGTCCATAAGTGACCAAAATGTCAAGGCTGGTATATGATAGGAACAAAACAAAAATAAAAAGTCCATTAATCAAAGTTATGTTGAAAAGCACACTGCACAACAGCCTCTTAGATTATCACATGTATTTTGCAACTGAAACTCCATTTATACCAACCTGCAAAGTTTCTGAAATAGACACTGATACTGTTTTCTCAATACTCCGTGCAACAGTTTGCCCAATGGCACCTAACTCTTTCTTCACAAGTTTTTCCACCAACACTGGAAGGTCCTTGTTTAGGCTGTTTGAGATCAAATTTGTTATCTGTTGAGTACGCTCACGCAATAATTTTTCCTGCCTAACACTTTCTTCTTGAAGGCGAGCCCATAAAGCATCAGCATTGGCCTTAGCAACTTTCTCCATCTGGCGTCCCAAGACTGTCTCAAGCCTTTTTCCCTCTTTGGTAACTGGAACAGCAACCAACATCCCCATCTGCTTTTGTGTTTCTTTTTGCATGGAGATGAGCTACACGAAAAGAAATGGCAAGATTGAAAAAGAAAACAGCATTAAATATAAAGTTCACAAGACTTCACTCATCACAAATCAATACACAGACACAAACACAGAAATGTAGACAGGAAGAATGCTTTAGGGTATTAGTATTTAGTAACCAAGCAAGCACCTGATTCAGCATCTCATGCATGGATGAAATTTGTGTAGATGCAGCTTCCATCGAGGGGATACTTGAGATGACATCTGCTTCATTGTGAGAATCAGTTGGATTGACAACACCAGGTGATAATGATGATGGACCAGATCCTTGAGAACTTTTCCCCTTCTGCTTTTTCCCCTTCGTAGTAGGTGCGGGTGGCTGTTGAACAGGAACTGGGTTAGTTGAGTTTAACTCCTTTCTGGGGACATCTTTGGTAGAATTGCAATCTTCCTCTTGATCATTTGATGGTTGGGCCAGTTCTTCACCTCCATTAGCACTATGAATTTGCTTAGAATCTTCAACAATATAGGTTTCAGGTGAAACATCATGGCACTCTCGAGCCATCTCCATTCCAAGATCAGAGGCTTGAGAGCAAAAGGATTTCTCCTTCTTATTTGAGACATTAACGTGAAGTTCTTCTCGAGTGTCATTATTCTGACTAGATATTGATTCACCCACAACCTTAACTTCAACCTCCATGTTGCGTGCTTCATTGTTGATTACAACATCTTGTATGTTCTTTTCTCCATCATTCTTCTGCTGATTTGTAGCCATCAAAATCTCTGAAGGAGTAACCAGATGAGTGGGATGTTTGAATTTGATAGGATTATTGAGACCTGAGGAAACCTCCTCATGAGAAACCTTGTTTTCATCATCATCCAGAGAAGCTGCATCAGACAAATTTGCATGAATGGCATCCATTTGTCTGTCAACTGAATATTCAACAATTGGATCTCCACCACGATGATTAAGAGAAGGACCAGGTTCAGAGCTGTTTGATGGGCTTCTAAAACTAGAAAGCTTCTGAGACAATCTAGGACTCAAAGGAAGAGGAGGTGATGCAATGGGAAGAATATCAGCATTGGCATTTACAATGGAGCTAGTAGCCGGTTTGTTTTCCATGCTAGAACTGAACTCCTGTGGCGTAGCTATCTCAATAGAAGCAGAACCAACAGGATTCCTCACTGTAGGCACACTCTCAGAACCACCATCATGCACAGGAATTTTGGGTGCAGAACTAGATATAGGTAATTCCGTTGGTTTACTTCCAGAGTGCTCATTTTGAGCAAATCCTTCAATACTAATAACCTCGCGTGAGGCACTAGATTCTGACTTCTCTAACATGGCAGTCTCCAGTGGAGGTGGCAAACACTGGGATAGGTCCAAAGCATACTGCTGAATAGCCTGTGTTTGCACACAATACACCTGAATAACCTGTTCCCCGTGCGGTAGTAAATCACTTGTCCCAATAAAACTCAATATTGGCATAGTAACTGTGAATTCTGCTATGTAATTCATCCGTGTTGATGCTGGATTAGGGCCATATTCTAGGTGCACTGCATATATGGCATTCTTTTTTGCATTTGCCAATAAAAATAGACCTGCTTGAGACAAAGCCATGACTTGATTAAAAAATGCTTCTTCGACTCGAGCTTCACCTGAATTCTTCAACTCCAATGTCTGTGTACAGTGCCATGATTCAGCATCACTGGGAAGCAACCATCCTTCTTCACTTGTAGATACCCATACCTTCAGTTCTCTGTTCAGTGGGCCCTGTCAACATCTTCAATAAGTCATTTGCAATACAAATGCAGAACAACAAAGTCAGGGATAACTTAGCAGTGACAAAAAAACAGTATTTGTAGATATATATATATATATATATATATATATATATATATATATATATATATATATATATATAGTAATAATCAAATGAGACCACCTCTTCCCGTGAGTCCTGTGAGACCCTTCATAAATGCACACAATTTACTACATGAATGCACACAGACTAGATTGTGTGCAATTTGCCCAACATGAATGCACACAATCTACCCTGTGTGCATTCGTGTAATAGCTTGTGTGCATTTATAAAGGGTCTCACGGGAAGAGGTGGTCTCACTGGAACATTACCCAATATATATATATATATATATATATATATAGAAAGTATAAGATACACACACACACACAGTGTATAAATGCCTCCAAAGGACATTTTGATTGAATATACCCCAGTAATAAGTATGATGTGGTCTGGGCGCTCTGGAGCAACCAAAAATGTAACCGAATGAACTGGTTGACCATCATATGGCCTTAGTACTGCAAGTGGCATGGGCTTGCGGTCATCCCAAATCTTGATCTGTGTACAAAAAAAGAAAAGAAAAAAAAAGCCATACACACATCAACCGGGGTTCAACATAGTAACAAAAGTGCACAAACAAAATGATGTATATTATGAAATCTAAAGAGTTAATTCCAAATTTAGTCCTCGACTTTTAAAGCTACCAAATTTATCCCTTAAGTATTGAATCATTTCCAATTGTAATCCACTATAAGCTTGTCACTGTGTAAACGGTTACAATTGAGGGTAAAATTGGAAAGTCATAACCATTGCACCAATTGTTTTCACTCGAGGGAAACAAAACCCTAATTTTCTTATTCTAGCAACCCTGCAGTCAGAGCACTAAATTCGGAATTAACTCAAATCAGAATGTGGAAGAGATTTGATATTGATGCAAACACAAACAGCCGTGAAGGAACAAAAAATCCGCATCCTTAACATGTGGGAATTATTTCATTGAGTTGTTAGCGCAAAAAGGTGAAAAATCTTAAGAAGTTTGAAGAACATTCACCAACCATGCCATCCACTGAAGCAGACACGAGACGAGTGGTCATCCACTGGCACATTGATAAGTCAGTAATTTCTCCATCATGAGTACCAACAAGCTGAACCCCTTCAACCAACCGATCAAATGGGCATCTCAGTGGTTCTTCAGCCGAAAATACTTCGCCTTTTCCAACTTTGGTTGTATCAATTCTCAAAATTCTCTTTCCAACCCCAACCACAAGAATTTCCTGCATAAGAGTGCAGCAGGATGAAAAGACTTCAAATAGAATCACCTAAAATTATGTAAAAATGCAAAGATCAGAAAATACTTGTTTATGACAATGCCAACAAACTCGTGGATGAAAAGATTCTCCTTCTCCCACAACTTGAATAGCAGTAACCATCCTGCCAGTTATTTGCTGCTTGTCTTCCTCATCCGGTCCCTCAGTGATTTTCCATATATAAACCCGCCCGTCAACACTTGCACTGTGAAATAAGTGAATTAGAAAGACAACACAAATTTAAAAGATACATACATATATATTATGAGCAACATTAGAGATTAGTACCTAGCCAAAAGATGAACATCCTCTGCAAAGAAAGCCATGTCCGTGACCCTCTGAAAGAAGATACATCTTTTAGGTACATACAATAGAACCTTATTCCTTTTGGCCAATGCAGAAAGGTTGAAATACTAGCTGAGTTGTTCCATTTGACTAATGTTTGATGAAAAACAGCTGACCAAGTTGAGATATCCCCTTTCTTTCATTATGATCAAGTTTTTACCTAGCCATCTACCACAGACTACAAGTACAAGGCCACGGGTATGGGGCAAGTCAGATTGCCCTCAAAAAGCAATTACAATTGGCAAACAAGGACCAAAACCCATTTGCAGGCATAGAATTAGCAGCTGGAAATGAATTATGGTGACCTAAAGTTCACCCAGAAAGTCAAAGATCTCCCAACTTTCATTGTTTTCTTCTACCATGGCAAAGAGTTTAAAGTACTTGAAACTAAATTGCTCCTACAATACTTCAATTATTTCATGTAGTCATTTTGAATGAACAATAATCAACTGGTTACAAAAATAAAATATAAATCATTCGCAATGTGGATAGACAAGGATAATATGTTAAATTGCCCATATAAACGATACAGAAAAGCAAGAGAATATCAACACCACAAAGTTGTTTAACAAATTCCATTATCAAGGAGAAAAGACAAATATCCAAATGGGAACCCAACCTGCGCTAGGCCCTTTAGCAATGATCTGAGAGCAGTATTGATGTTAAGGACCCGAACAGCACCCAACTTCAATCCGTAACATATGTAAGTCTTATTGACTGCAATTTGCCGGCCCAAAACAAGTCCAGGATCTGAAGTATACTTTGTAATGGGAGTAACCTCGAGTTGAGGCTGCACCTCACCAGGCAATCTAGCATCAATGTCATAACTAATGTGGTCGCCACTCAAATGCCGCCCTATACACAGCTTACTGCTGGGCATCCGCACTGGCAGAGGACCCGATAGAGACCCGGGAGCACCGTGGGGCAATGGAAATTCGGAAGGGTCCGACCCGGAAGCGGCAGAGTGAATGGGCGGCACTGGCATTATCTGTTGCGGAGTTTCGAGAGTGGAAGGCGGCGCACCTAACAGAGCCATGAGGCGAGCCCCTGGATTGGGGGTAGCATTAGGGTTCTGGAACTGGTGAGGAGTCGCCGGCGGAGGTTGAAGAGGTGGGGTGGGGAAAGACATGGATCTCTGAAGCCCTTGGGCTTGAGGAAGAAGCGGGGCGGTGTAGGGAGGGAGGTGCTGGTGGTGGAATTGGGGGTGGTGGGGGAATGGAGCGGAGGTCTGAGGCGGAAAAGAGTAAATATATTCCATCCCGGAGGTGGGAGGATAGGAAGCAACAGACGGCGGAGGAAAAGGCGAGGAGGAAATGAAGTTAGGGTTTTGGGGAGTAGGGTTTGCGGCTGCTACCGCCGCCGCCACAGGCGGCGGTGGTGACGGCGCCGATGTCTTGAAGAATTTGGGCACGTCGAATGGTCCTCCACCTGGTTGATTAAGATTTCCAGGGGAAGCCATCACCTAGATCTGATCAATTACACTCTAACTTTCTTGGCCTACGTATATGTATATATGTATATAGATTTGTGTATGTATAGGTAGAGCGTGGAGATTCTCAGAGATGGAAGCTAGGAAGCAGAAGAGCGTCCACCATTAAACACTTAAAAGAGTATTTGGTGATTTCAGTCTTTTTGGGACAACGTTACTATGATGACGATGAGGAAAATGGAGACCGCCCTGTACCAGTTTTCTGAACCCAAAAAAAAAAAAAAAAAAAAAAAAAAACAATTGAAAATAAGATTTTATCCTTTGTGGTCGAGCAATATAGCTATCAATTTTCAAATGAAAAGTTTTAGGTTCGAACCTTTCATTTTTAGAAAAAATCAATTTTATTTTGATATAACATTGACTTTTTGTGCTTCACTATGATGATAAAAACAAAAAAAAAAACAAAAAACAAAAAAAAAATCAGTTTTCATTTTTAGATTTTTAAAAAAATTCAATTTTCATTTATTATTAGAAAAACAATCTTTAAATTCGACTACTTTCTAATTTATAAAACATGTCAAGTATCTTGTAATTTAATGGCACAGATACTACATTGTAATAGAGTCATTAGTACTCAAACAAATTTATAAAACATACAATTTTTAAGTTATTTTTATTTAAAAAAAATATGAATTCAAACGGGAACTAATAATATATTGGTGGTAGTTGACGGGTGGAGGGGGGTCAAGAAAAGAGTTGGTTGTAGATAAAATGGATAAAGTAAACGATAATAGTAATGAAAACAACATCACATATTTACATAAAATCAAAATTTTACACAATTTGGTTGGCTATACACGTTGATCATGGATTATTTGGGTTAATTATTCTTGACACCAATCTTAAAAGTGTTATATAAATCCATAGCTAAGTGTGTTGAGTGATTTAACTATGTTACTTGTAGTTTTATTTTGGTTATTTTTCACACGTATCTCTTATCGCTTATCTATTATCTATTATCTATTATCTATCTATCTATTATACTAACAAAAGTCCAAGAGATTTTTCTAATAGAATTGGTTTGTTTTCCCGCTCAACTCAAATGTATTAAAATAAGTAATACGGAGTAGTTTTTTTACCCAATATATTATTGTTAATAAGTAGATAGCGATATATCTACTTATTTATTGCATTAGGTTTTCTTTTTTTGGTTTGTGAGATTTTCTTATTTTTCGAACTTCAAGTTGCGGTAAGTAAACACCTTTTATAAGTTAAACAAGTTAAATAGGTTGTAATCATTCAATTTATTACTAAGTCATATCATATGGAACAATTAATATGACCAATACTTTGTCTTTTAATTGAGCTATTAGTCTAAATATATACATACTTAAAAGTGTCTGATGTGTTTAACTCCCGTATGCCCAAGTCAATGCGTATTTATCTGACCGATAATTTGGAAGCATAGTTGGGCAGGTCGGCCAATTCCGGGTTCATAAACTCTCAAACAGTACCCCCTCCCACCCCAACTTGTAATAAATGTGATAAGGACGATTTCACACATCCATCAAGTATCAAATCACAATATAAAGTTTAGATATCATTCAATTGGAGATGACTATTGTAATGTTAGGAATTGATACAAAGTGGAGTTAAGCACAAGTTAAAACTATCCTTTTAGAAGCTATGCCTATTGTTAATGAGTCGAGTTGATAAGATTAAGCAAATAGAAAATTAGACAAGTAAAACAAAGGACCGGGATTTGGTTGATTCAAGCTAAGATGCCAAATATTGTACTAAATATTATGTAATTAAAACAAGGCATAGGGTAAGTGAGATGTACATAAATGTCTAAATACCACTCTCATAGCTATTTGGATTTGCAACCTCACCTTGAACTCCACTCTCGTGGAAATTCAACCCAAAGTTACTCAAACAATAATACGGGACATAAATTATCCTTAACACCCGAAATACTATCGTAATGGGCATCAAGTGTGTGAATGTGTGGCTAATGTATAAGTTCTACTCTCGTAGCAACAAACACACTCCAAATAAATCATATAATTTGGATCCAATAAGTATACACAATTTCACAACAATCCCTAAAATACCCAATAATCCCTTTTATGCAATATAACACATATAGACATCAATAGCAATAAATCAAACCAAATCCTAGTTCCAAAACACTTAGTTAGTCATAATATAACAACAGATATACAATATTAAATGAGTAATTGAAAGCATAAATGAAAAGTAAAGGGAAATATGAATAAGAAAACTTCTTTATTGAAGTCTTGAAATTCAAAATTGCAAAGTATTCTTGAGATAAGAAATGGAAAGGAACAAGAAATTTACTATAATCCAAGCAATTTTAGAGCTAAACATAACTAGGGAATGAAAGGGAAATGAATGATGTGTTTTTGGGTGGAAATTAAATGGTTCTCCTCAAAACAAGGCAAAATGTCTTTTTAAAAGTTGCAAAGGTTGGGCACATGCAGGGGCATGGGTGTGCCTTTGCTAGTGCCCAGCATAACCATGCCCATTGTATTGTAGGCACAGGTCCAGGCAAGGGCGTGCCCATACCCGTACCCACAAGGTAGAACATTCTACTTGCTAGCCATGGGTGTGCCCACGCCCGTGGCTAGCAGAGGAGGCCTCCAAGGTCTTCGGCAATTGCTTTGGTGCTCTCTTCGGTGACGGGTCACGCCATGGTCCATCCCAAAACTTCAAAAATCATTACTTTGGTCATTCAATTGTGCTCTCATGTTAAGGTGGCTCCAAAGACTTGATCAAATACTTCATCGAATGACTCAAAACATCATTTTTTTTTGTCAAATCACCTAAAACACACAATAATTCCATAAGTGACCAACATGGCTTCATAACATAATGAGTAATAAGCAAAAAATACAAAAATGTGCAAGAAAAAAGCATTAAATTAAGACATTCATCAAAATGCACCTTATATAGGCGAGTCTGGAGACCCATGCCGAAGATCTGGCATGTCCCCCACGTGGTGGATGTATGTTGGTCGGCCAAGGAGGCATTGCCAAGTGTTTGACCTAAGAGAAATTGACATATAGGACGTGATTAGACATTGTGTCTAGGGTTTTGTACTTGGTTAAACATGCAGCGAAGCAACCCGCTTTCAAAGTCTTGAAGGTGAATATTCCGGTCAGCCTAATCGGGAAGTCTCATCGGTTACATAGTTCTGCCTGGTAAAGAGCCGGTATGGTCGGTCGCAATTGTCCAATTAGAAACCAGTTGGGCGTATATGCATTATAAGTGTCTCCTACAGGGCGTTTGGTTGGAGAGAATTAAAATTCCATTTCAACTTAATTCCCACTTAATTTCGAAGGAAAGTAAATTCTTTGGTTTGGTTATAGGGAATTGCAATTATTTCATTTTCATGGAATTAGAATCTCATCCCTTGGGTATTTCAATTCCTTGGTTTTTAGGAAGAAAAAATAAAAATATAACTTTGATACAAAACTATCCATTTTTTTTAACCTAAATTTGATGTATAACATCTCACTATCGATTGCATGAAAATTAATTACAATATGTCCAGTTCAAGAGATATGGTAGATGTGTGGTATTTGAATATGTTATTTTTTAAGTGTTTGACTATGTAGATGGGTCCAATTCAAGAGATGCTTGTCATTTAAGATTGAAAATAATAATAATAATTTTTCACACTTTGGTCAGCAAAATAACATGTCAACAACGGCCAACAATGCAAATGTCCATTTTAACCCTACTTGAAAGGGAAAATTTTTTCTCCGATAAGAAATTAACGTAAATGCGCCGGAAGAATATTTTTGCAACAAAAATAATAATCATACATTGAAATTGCAATGTTTAAAAATTATGAATCAATCTTAATAGTGTTACTATAGTCGTGCGACAAAAAAAATGGGTAAAACTCCTAAGATCTATCATTATAATAAAGCACTAAGTTTCTACCTAAAACATCTTCCCGCCTAAAGAATTCGGCGTCGTTTTAATGATAGATAACACAATCAGTCTAATTAATTGTGTTCACATTGCCTTACGCTTTTCAATGTGATACTGCCGGCTAAGATTGTCAATTACCAATGTAATTACACTTTTAATAATGAAAGACTTCTAATTACATTGAGAAACTAACCTATAATCTACATTTATTTACATATATATATATATATATATATATATATATATATATATATATATATATATATATATATATATATATATATATATAGATATACACATACATAAAATGCTTCGAAAAAACAATCTCTTTAATGTAGTCTTGGGTCTTCAAACGTTTCCAGCAAGATTCATAGTTCCAAGACAATATTCAAAATTGGAGAACAAATTTCAGCCTCTATATAAAGCTCCTTCATATCAATATTCACCCCCAAGTTCACCATCTCCCTGGTTTGAACCACCCGCAAATTAGAAACGAAGAACCAAAATCTGTGTGAAGATACCATGCCATCTATGCATATTGCTGTTGAAGAGGAACAACACAGTTGCTTGAAGATTAAGGTGAGGCTTAGAATTGAGAACACCTGCACATTTGTTAAATCTTTGTATACACACACTTAGCACAATGCTGTGAGTTTTAGAAGTGAAATAGTAACTGACAGTTACATGCTTATGGCTTAGGCATCAAACGGTAGTATTCATCATTTGCCTTTTTGTTTAGTTATTTTCATATACAAAGATTATTTCATCAGATGGAAACCAGTGAGGCAGTTGTAATTTTCAATGCAAATACACACAGCTAACCTATATTGTTGCTATGAAAATATATGACAGAAAGTGGTATGTATATATAAATATATAAGATTTTATTTACAAGCATGAATCACAAAAAGTTTTCAGTTGCAAGCAAGCAAGATGGATAATGCAGTACAAACAGTCCTAAAGAGGCATAAGGGATTTCACAATTTGGTAAGCATACTTGATTTTACCCTAACAAAAAAGTTTCTGTTTTGGCTAAATATTATACAATTTTTGCAGGTTGGTGATTTTTATGTTCCGGGGTTTAGGGTTCATGGTTTAGGTTGGTGATTTTTAATTCCATTGGAATAAGTTACTGAGTAACATTTACCTGGGTTGCTCTGGATACCATAGCGAACTCTCATTTTTTAACCCAATATCCTATTACTTCAAAGACACACATCCTGCATATAATAAAAGAACGTTATATAATTGAATAAAATGCATAGTTGAATGAAAGGCATAATTAATAATGTA